GAGAGAGAGAGTGTTTAGTTTCGAAATCTTTAGTGAGATTTTTTGCTCAACTTTTAAGTAAAAAAATATCACTAAAATACGACTCTGCTGCTAACAAACCCTCAAAACTGTGTCTGGTTTCTCACATCGCCTCCTTTTTTCACTGATTCTGATCAAAAAGAAGTTTTGGGTTTTAAGATAGTTCGATTAGTAATAAGAAGTTTGGTTCGGAAACATCTCTAACACACGCCACATACACCTACTACGTTGTTCACGGAGACAGTCACTTCTTCTGTGCGTCTATGTTCTTCTCTTAGATTCTGCTTCTGGGTTCTTCTGTTTATACCCAAATTAACGATTTTTCTAGATACCCTTTTGCTCGATCTTATTTCTCTGTTTTCTGTTCTGTAATTTTGTTTTCTTGTTCTTAAATTTTCAGATATATGGATTTGAAACAATCGATGCTGCTCCTGAGTTCTTGGATTGCTCAAGTGAGTTTTTTCAAGTTCTTTTGATGTTATATGATCATGGGGAGAGGCTTTACTTCATTAATGCTTAAGTGTTCAAGAACAATCTGCTCACTACCTCAAAACGGTTTATGTTGAGATTTATGTTTTCAAGTCATGTGTTCAATGTGGATTTGGAATATTTTTGTTGCACAGATTGGTGATGTTGGTCTTGATTTGCTATGGCGTTTCGTACACATTGTTGTGAGCTTATGGTACATTTTCTCTGGCATCTTTGAGGCAATCGAAAGCTATGCCATTTCGTTAGGATTGATTAAAAAGTACAGTTCGATCAACTTTGAGAAACTCCGGTGTCTAGCTGTTGTAGTTGACATCGAAGAAGCTCGAGATGTTGTCAATGTTATTGACCTTTTGCAGTGGCTAACAACCATCGGTGTGAATCAAGTCGGTCTATTTGACACCCAAGGTAGATGCTTTAGCTAATTATCTCGATTTTTTTCGGTCCATTATTAATACCTATATGATTCATGAACTTGGTTTCTTTAGGTTTATTAAAGAAATGCAAGGATTTGATCCTTGAAACCGTTCCAGGTTCAATGTTGTTAGAGGTATAATAATCTCATATCTTTCGTTTAGTTTGCTTCTTTGCCCGTAAATCGATTCTTTTTGCATGTTAGTATTAGTATTCTTCCTTAGCAGGAGACTGGTGAAAAGGATTTGTTGCCTGACCGAAAGCGTATTGCGTTAGAATTCATTTCATCTTCCGACAATAAAGAAGCTGTTGTGAAAGCAGCCAACATACTTCTTCAGAGATACTTGAAATCCAGCCATCCCGAGAAAGAAAAAGGGGACGACTTTTTTACAGAGCCTCATTTGAACGAAGCGCTTAGAGTTGTTGGTTTGTGTTGATTCTCTCTTATGGAATTCAAAGTCGTTTGTTTCCAAGAATCTGATGATCTAAACTCTGGCAGGTGAGAATGTACAACCGCCCGATCTGTTACTGGTTTATGGACCTATAAGGAGCCACCTCGGTTTCCCTGCTTGGAGACTTCGATACACTGAGATCGTGTAAGTGCTTTTTACTCTTTTTCTCATATATCCTTAGAGCTAAATCTCATAGAGTTTGTCTTTACTCGGTATTTGTTTGTTTATAGACATATGGGATCTTTGAAGTATATGAGATATGGTTCCCTTTTGAAGGCAATTCACAAGTTCACAGGGGTACACCAAAACTATGGTAAGTCTTTTGTCTCTTGAATCTCAATCTTTAGTACTCATAAAGTTCTTTACCTTTGAAATGGATTTGAGTCACCCATTAGTCATATTCTGTTGCTTGACTGGGATGTTTCTGGTTATTCTTTACAGGAACTTAATGGTGATTAGAGAGCAGAGTTTCAGGATCAAATTTTGGTTTGTGATTCACATATTTATCATTAGTGAATTTCTAAAGGAGACATTATTGGAGAGGTATTAATTCAGTGTAACCACGAGTACTGCCGATTTGTTCTTTCAATTCTATGTTACACAGACTCTGTACACAAACAACATATGCATTGGCATTGTATAGGATTAAGTTCCCAACTGAATAGTTACAAGCTGTACCAAACCAATTCGTTTTTTTCATAAAGTTTTCATTCTGTTTCAGCGCCATTAAAAAGCAGTTTAGTTTTCTGTTTAGTAGACTGTGAAACCAAGAAAACCAAACTGGTTTATGCACAAATGTCAGTTACAACTTTCCATATTCAAATGAAACTGGAAGCTTGGAACATTGCAATGAGCTGTCTTTGTGCATGGTCTTGTATGCTCTTTCAGTATTCCGTTTCCAATAGACCATCAATGAGCCCGAACTCAAGCGCCTGCATAAGAAAATAACCGAGAAAAACCATAAGCAAAATTCCACATTGGTACAGAATGATCATGAGGAACACTAAAAGACAGTCCACGAGCTATAGCTCGTGGCTGGTTGTGAACTGAGCCCCTCTTAAGTCCTTATACCGGTAAGCCATAGCTCATCCGAAATTCGAGCTAATGTTCAGATTTGATTGGTTATATTAACTTAAACATGAGATTAGAGGCAAATTACCTCAGATGCAGATAAGAAACGATCTCTTTCAGTGTACTGTTGCACTTTCTCCAATGGTTGTCCAGTGAAAGCTGCATACATCTTGTCGATTTTCTACACCAAGGCCCAAGCGATTAAAAAAAGCTCAGTTTTGTAGCTCAAAGACTCGATCTTCCATAATCTTAAAGCAAGAAGCACGATAATAAAGAGAGAGACTAACTTGTCGGGATTCGATAGCTTCATTCACCTGTCTCCTTACGTCCTCCACATGGCCCTACAACATTGTATTTAGACAAAATCAAATACATTCATAAAATGATATGATTCCAAGTAGTCAATGCGAAATCAAATACATTCATAAAATGATATGATTCCAAGTAGTCAATACGCATCTAAAGATTTTTCTTTGACAGAAAGTTTGTAAAACAAAGGAGGATTCAAGAGCCATACTCCACATCCAGTTTGCGGTTGATGAATCATAACACGAGTATTTGGCATCGCATAGCGCATCCCTTTTTCACCTCCAGCAAGAAGAAGTGCTCCTTGGCTTGCAGCTACTCCAAACGCCACCGTTCCAACTTTAGGCTTTATCTAAAGAGCAATTCAAGCAATCACCAGGTTCAGCATTATGATTAAACACCAAGTGAGATATACCACGATTTAAGCATCGTGAAGGTAAGAAGCTTGTAATGATGTGACGGGGAAAAACTTACCCAAGACATACAGTCATAAATTGCTAAGACGGAGTAGGTGCTGCCACCAGGACAATTCAAGTACACCTGAAACAGAGATTACTTCTACGTAAATATGAGATTTTCCTTTATCGAAAAGTGATTGACAGAAAAAGAGCTTTTCGGCTAACCAGGATGTCAGATTTATCATCAATAGATGCGAGGGTTACAAGCTGAGATATGACTCGCTGAGCAACCTGTGCGTTGATTGGTTGCCCGATGAAGATTATCCGGTTGCGGAATAACACAGAAGAAAGGTCCAAAGGTCCTCCAGGGGTCATCACTGAAGGCATTACAGGCGGGTTTCCTTTTTTCGCCTCTATCACTCCAAATCTAAACATCGCAACACAAAAACAAAAAAAGGATCTATCAACCAATTTACAACTGTATGGTCTATGGTAGGCTAGGTATCATCATAACAAAGACTATTACACTACATTGTTCATCAGTTACACATTAGTACTAAGAACTCTAACAATCAATCAATCTAGCTAAAGAGAAACACAGCTAAGGGAGTGAGCTATTTCAATTTCGATAATGACGAATACATAATCAAGAGATAAGAGAATAGAGAGATGCAGAAGAAAAAGTAAACCTTGGATCAATACTACGAGGATCCTTGTTGTCAATCTTAATTGAGGATCCAGAAACATTACTTGAAAGTCCTGATAGCATCAAAAGACAACCCAAAGCTCAGGGACAAGTCAATTTAATCCAGAGAAATTGTATCAGAACAACACTCTTAGCATCAAACAGCTAGTAGTAACAGCAAGCAACTTGGTTCCCAAAATATACAAAAACCTAAATGAAACAACCAAAATCAAAGGCTTTAAAAGGTACCAGCTTTCAGAGAATCGCCATACGGACTAGGCAGCGCAGAAACTATACGTCTTGTATGATTTCTACACAAAATCAAACAAAACAGAGAAATTTGTGGTCATACAAACGAATTTCATGATTGAAGCGGCAGCACAAACATATGTATGTAGAGTGAGTATGTGATTGCGATTTGAAAGGTAGTACCTTTGATTGTGAGATAGATACGAAGTGGGTTTAGGGTTTCTAGTTCGAGAAGAGAAGGAAAAACCGAGAGGAGGTGAAATTGCCAAACCCGCCATTTCCAAAGCTTGAAGGTTTCTGGGTCTTGTCTCTGTTCAGTGAACCAAAGAGACAGTTTTTCGGGTTCAGGCGTGGATAGATGATAGAAGACGGCAAAGAGTCAAGGTTAATGTTTGGACATGAACTGAAAACTGAATCCAACACAGGCAGATCTGGGAGACTCTACTTCACCCAGCAGGTTTCAAAACCAATCCGAAAATAATATATTTTTCATTAAACATATCAGAATACCCATTTGCTTATACAAAACTAAAATAGAAATATATCGAGTACAAAAAAAAAAAGCATACATAAACCTGGAAAATGAGCAAATTAAAATATTTTAAAAACTTAATAATAAAATAGTTTGAATAAAATGTATTTATCATTAACATGTTAAGTTTTATGAGTTTTCAAATTTAATTAGTTACGAATTTAATATAAACTAGATGACTAGTCCGCACCGTGTGCGGAGTATGAGTTTTTTAGACGAATAAGTTGATTTCAGTATTTAGTAAAGCGAATTTATCAAGTTTTGAAATATTAAATATGCATAACTGCTTGTTTTAAATTTATATGCATGTAAAAAAGTAATATGTGTTGCATAATATTTTTAATATTTTGAGTTTTCCTTTGAAAGTAGATTTCAATATTTAATAAAGCGAATTTATCAAGTTTTGAAACATTAAATATGCATAATTGTTTGTCTTAAATTTATACGCATGTAAAAAAATAATATGTGTTGCATAATATTTTTAATATTTTGAGTGTTCCTTTGAAAGTAGATGTTTTTTTGTTTTGTAATTTTTGTATTTGTATTGAAATAAAACGTAAGTGATGGATAACAAYAATGTGTAAAATTTCGTAATAAATAAAAAARAAATTATATATGRSRAGAACTAATGACACACATCAARTGCAAAAATTCAAGGAAAAATATAAAATCAAACAAATGACTTTTGATTATTTTCCTAAATGATTCACCCCATGCACATACATGAAAAAATTTCAAACTCCATTAATGATAATAC